CCATAATTCTACAGCCAATAAGCATCATACGGAATATCAATTACACTCATAAATCTAGTTTTTGATGGGCTTTAACCTGGTATAAATACTTTCTGATATTATCTGTCCTTTAGGTCGTGTAGGGGGGTAGAAAAAGGTTATGTAACACCCTGTAGTTAGGTGTCTAGCCTAAAACAAAACAAACCCGAACTCTCCAGCTTGAAATATATTAAAAAATCTTGGGAAATACTTCAAGGCCCTTTTTAGACCTTGATCTCTGGAAAACTCCTAAACGGCAAGACTCGGAGACAAAAAATCCCAAAGGGGACCCTTAAGTTTATATTTCAATAAAGCGAATAAGAAAGTAAATGAATCAATAAATAATAAGGCCGTCGTCATAAAGTTATATGAATATGCCTAGTAAGGATAATATTAATCTAGACAATTAAACAGACATACCTTTGGATCACTTTTGGGAGTTTCAATCGGTGCTACACCATTACTAAAACGAAAAAATGATAAAAATAAATTTATGTTCAAGTATACATGCAATTTTGTTGGAAGTTAGTCAGCGGATTAGTTGTAATTAAGAACAAATTGTATGTTAGTTTTATTTGCACAAATTAGTGTTAGTTCAACGAGAAAGCATAAATCTAAGAACAACCTATCAACTACCTTAATTCTAAAGTATAGGATTTGAAAAATTTATTTGATAATATGTGACTATAATGAGAAACAGAAATATTTTTGTAAGAACAGTTGTCACAGTTATTATCAAAGCATATCATATATCAAATTTCCATGAGATTTCAAAAAATAATGACAAAATTTTTAGAAATTTTTATGTCTGTTATAAACAGAAGTCCGTTTATCGTTGATACGGAACGAAATCCATATAAAATAGGCGTAAAAATATAGTTGTTAAATAAAGATTTTTACCGTGATCGTTATTCCGTTTGGCAGACTTTTAAGTCAATGATCAATATTTAACGGATTATTAAATATCTAACTTTCTATTTTTTTTTTACCTTAAATTTTTTCTTTTTTCTGGTGTCGATTGACTTCCCAGTGGTCCCATACAAGATTTTGGAGTTAATTGTCGATGTTTTTCGTAGTCTAATTTAGCTTTTGCCATAGTTTTCGATTGTTGTTCTCCAATTATTTGTTGTTCTTTTGAATGTTTCTTTTTCATTAATTGTAATTCTTTTTCTTGTTTTCGCTCCAATTTTTGATAACCCTTTAATTGTCGTAAATAATCGAGTGTAATGATGATAGTATTCGTCTGTTGACCTGATTGAGATTGTTGACAATCTTTACTGGAAGTTTTCAATGATATACCACTATCTGTTGTAGTCGTAACGGTTGAAGAAGCAATAGACATGTTCGATTCAGTTGTTGTCGAAGTTTCACGTTTGAATGAAGATGTAGTGGAAGACGATAAACTACCTGAAAAATAACATCCTTATTTTAGTTTAGTTTTACAATCGCTTATCAGTTAGTTACTGGAGACTTAAACAGAACTCATTTCTAGAAGAATCAAAAGAAGATACTACGATCGGTTTCGACCTTTCTCAAGGGTCTCGTCAGGTGGTTTCCTTCGAGAAAGACAGAGTTAAAGCACTACAAGCAGCATAACTCATGAGAGAACTTCCCCAAATATTCCCTCCTTTTTTTAACGAAATGTAGTAGGTTATATGTAATCGACCATGCTGATTTCGAATATGATATTTATTTGGGCTCATAAGCTTTTCGTAGCCGGTTTCTAGAAAACTTGTTCAAAAAACTTCAAAAAATCTCTAAAACTTTTTCTACATAAATCACAATTGTAGCACGCGAAATTCTGATCAAAATGAGATATCTCCCATCTCTACATAACCTTTCTTTGCAAAGTTATAGAGTTTAGAAGAAAAGCCCTAATTTCATTTTTCCTTTCTGTAGCTCTGAGGTGACAATGAACATTTAGGGCTTTTCTTGTAAACTCGATAACTTAGTAAAGAAAGGTCGTGTAGAGCTGAAAGATGTCTCATTCTGATCAGAATTTCGTGTGCTACAATTGTGACTTATTTAGAAAAAGTTTTGGAGATTTTTCAAGGTTTCTGGAGAACAAGTTTTCTACAAACCGGCTAGGAAAGGCCTATGAGCCCAAATGAATATCATATTCGACATCAGCATGGTCGATTACATATAACCTACTACATTTCGTTAAAAAAAGGAGAGGGCATTTCGAAAGGTTCCCTCGTGAGTCCACACCATGTGATGATGTTATTATTTCTTGTTCTCATCAAACAAAGAATGATAACTTTCACACGATGAGAATGGAGCACAATATCACTGGCCATTGCACAACATTCTGCTTCTCTCCATCAAGTATTTCTAACGAACTAACTAAACAAAATTAAAATTGTATCAAGTCAAGTTTCACATTTCATTAACATCCTTATTAAACAGATTTTATTTAAAAAACAAACTTCTTCTCTGTCTCTTTTCTACTATTTTCATGTATTTACTAATGTTTATTACTTGCTATTATATTTTACTATTTTTATATATTTATATTCGTACTTTATGCTGTTTTAGAGCAATTGACTTATGAAATAAATCTATTTTTAAACTAACAATTATGCACTGATATTTTATGGTATTGTTTTCTTCTTCTCTAAATGTGACTTACCATCAAAATTTCTTTTAATTGAAGATGATGTACTATTTCCACTAGGTAATGAGACTGGCATCAGATCTTCCGATTGTTTTAGTAATTTTGGTTTATTTAATGATTCAACAAAATCACCCATACCATCGGGTACATAAGTTTTTAACACAATTTGACAAAATATTGTTGGTAATGATAATGGAAAATTACCTTCTGTACGTAATGAAATATGTCTATAGCCAGCTTGTAAACCATCTAAAGGTAATACACGTTGACCAATCAATTTACCCGTTTCTTCATAAACAGCTATACGAATTGATGCTAAATCAGGTAGCACAATCTAAAAGTAGAAAAATGAAAAAAAATGAAAAACACTAGTAAAATAGTAATAAGAAAAGATTCTTATGTTGTTATGTTTAGTCTATTGTCAAAAAAAGAATGAAACTAATATTTACTTTTCTAAATACAAATCTGAATGAATCTTCATCATATTTTGGATTGAGTCCATTTGCAGGTACGGTTTTTGTACGAAATTCTTTTCTTATTGTATCAGCTGGTAGACCATACATATCGACTTCAACATAGGTACCTATTTTTTTATCGGATAAAAATTGTCCACTAATGATTTTTATTGAACAATGAGCAGCTATAACACCGTCGACCGGACTTTCGGTAAATGGATCAAATGTACGATCACTTCGTATCATAAAATTTGGTTTTAATAAATACCTAAAAGTATAAGATGAAAAGAATATTTAATAGATTTTTCTAACTAAACGTTAAATTCAGTTTGTAATGAATCGTAAAACGAAAATTTTACTGACTTTTTTTTCCATATTCTCTAAAAATTCTTTGAGAAAGTCCGCTCGAGTCACATCACAACTTTTTGTGAGAATGATACAAATTTTTTATGGTTTTCTACTCTATGAATGAAACTTTTCAAAGTTTCTACTCGAAAACATATCAGTTGAAAAGGAGAAGAACGCATTCTTAAGTATATGAATGTTATGTGGCAATAATTTTAGCGTAAACGGGCACGTTTTTTCAATAAGAGGGAATCAAGTCACAATCCGTACGAGTCAGGATTTCAACCAGAAACATTGTAAGTCACTTTTTTGAGACATGGTCGGCCCGTTCACGTAACAGATAATTAGGCGAACGTAAATAACTGAATTGATTTTGAAACAAATGCCATATCTTTCAAATAAGTCGTTCAGTTTACAGTCTGTATATGACCGCGATGCTAAACTTAATTATCATTTCAAAGGAAAATGTTTGCTCTTCAAAATAAGATGTCTCCAAGCTCTGTAAGAGTTTTCCTCGCAGAACTATACCGTTATGTGGACAAGTCGTGGTGTGATTCTTTGCTTTACAAGATTAAACACTTTGAAAAAACATCTTAAAAATTTATATCTTGTCAGTAAAAGAGTTGTAAAGAGCCAGGAGTGGTCTCATACTGTGAAAGATATTTGACTTTATCCGATAGTATGTTTGACTCGAAAATGAAGTGGACAACTTCTAAACCACTTCATTAATGGCAGAAACTTTTACTGTTGTTTCCATCGATGCTAAACAAAAGCTGTTGTCCATGTAGAGAATATTGAATATTTAATTTATTATTATTTTAGTGATTTTGATCTAAATGCATGATTCGATAGTCCATGATGTCTATTCTTCAAATTCATACTGTTTTTGCACAATATTAAAATTTTCCAATAGCTTCTTGAAATTTTTTTCTAAAAAGCTGATTTTTTTGAAATTCTAATATTTCAATAAAATGTCAGAATCAGAAAGGCTTTCAATAATACTAATTTTTAGAAATAATATTTCTGATTAAAATTTGGCCTCTTTCAACTTTGAGCAATATTTTGATAAAAAATTAGTTTTATTGAAAAACCTAACATCTGTAGAAGCGCCACCATATCTCAAAATCGTTTTTTTCCGTCAGGACTGTTCGTATTTTCCCGAAATCTCCATCAGTATAGATGATGGAGTGCTCGGGTTAGTTTCAGACAGAAGCCAAAACATGTGACTAGACGGATATCAATGACAGAGTCAATGTTCGAATTTTGCTCTAATTTTCAATAGACAAAAGAATTTTAGGAATTTTTCGACTTTTGATGCCTGCCAAAAATCAATAACGTAAATATTCGAAAACTGAGCTCTGTCAATCTCTAGCCACATGTGTTGAATTCAGTCTGAAGTCAATTCGCGCTCTCCAACACTTAGCTAAAAGAAAAATTTTTGAAAAATATTAGTTCGATTTTGACCACTGTGGTAGCGACATCTCGTGAACGGAGATAGATGGGAGTCAAAAAACTAGTTTATCAGTGCCAACAATAATCACTTGTGATCAATCGTAATAGGAAAACAAAATTAATATCTTAATGTACAATAGGCTCGGGTACTCTAGTAATATCTATCGTCAGCACTCTTGTCTCTGTACTGAACATCATCAGTCAAACATGCTATAATTATGATAGACTATATAAAAGTCAACTAGATATAACTCCACTCATCGTCAAAAATGTGATTAACTCTATCAGAAGACAATGGTCTTGTTCGTGAATTCCGAATAAAAGTGACATATCTTGTGGTCAAAAATAATAAAGATATGTTTGTCCAAATGTTCTCCTTTCCATTATAAAGAATTACATTATAGGTAAAAGCGTACGTATGATAAACAATTATGTCAAACAGATGGAAACAATATATAGAGTGTTGAGATTCCATCAACAGTACTGCATAGCATTAGTAAAGAATACACATGAAAAAGCTGAAATGACATGGTGTGGCAAAGTGATGACTATCTTCTAAAACAAACTCTTGAATTCGAAAGTGATAGTCTACATGATAATGTTAGAATATGCAGTATCGACGATAGTTGTGTGATTTAACGTAAATTGAACATTTTGTATTATTTTACTTTATTTTAATGTAATTTTTTTTTGTTTTTGCTTTTCTTCAAAACGGAGTGTCAGTAATAGATATTTATTCTATTTTTATTTACTAGAAATTTTTGTTTCTTTCTAGTGAAGTTGTAGTACATAAAGATCACTATCTCTTTCTTATTGTAATTATTTATTTTTTACAAATTTTTTTCATCTAAAACTATGATCGATCACAAATTTATTGGTAAACATTGTTTTTTGTTCTACATGTAAAAATAGAATGTACTTGAACACGTAGATAGTTTTCTCTAATTTTGAATTTATTTATTCGATAATGGTAACTTGGGATTATCTAACACTGCATATATTTTTGTTAGATCGAAATCGGACACTTGTTTTTTTGTTATTTTATTATCTGTTAAGTCTCTCCAGTCCTCGTTTTTGACATTTTTATTAATAAAATTTTTTCTTCTAATTTAAATAGTCAAGCTTCAAGGTTTATTTTCTTCTTATTGAGTCATGATCCTATATATACAGAGAGAGAGAGAGAGAGAGAGAAGTCGTTTTCTATTCTTATTTTCTCGTTTTCCGACACTTTTTTTATCTTTTTCATAAATCTTTTTTCTTTTTTTTTTGTTTTACATCGCGTTATATGTCGATAATAATAACTAATAATAATTATACTTATTATAAAGAAATAAAACACTTGACTATAAGAGAACAATGGAAAAAATATAAAATAAAGAATATGTTTTAACTATGAAAATAATATATTATCATGTAAGATTTTCAAAGATAAATCAATGCCAATAGCATCAGTTCTTATGTTAGCGTGTAAGAGAGTAGAAATATAAAAAAAAACAAAAAATAAATAAATTTCATTTTTCTCGAGATTCTAAACCAAATGTATTGTCATGAAACAATTCATTTCTATAGTTCTATCTAGTTCATTCACATAAATTAGTCATATTTTTCAACATCGAACTATTGTATACCTAAAGAACGTGATATTAATAAAATTATTCAGATATGAATAAAATTTTTCACTATTCATAAAACGTATTTCTTTTTCTTTTTTTTTTTGTCATCGAGATGGTTCGTTAATTAAGACATTCGATTATTTTTATAAAAAAACAAAAAAAATGTTTTATGTCAATTGATGGCATGCAAACAAAATATGACACGAAGGAGATGATAGAGAACTTTTTTTCCTAGTAAATCTATTTGAAAGAATGAAAAGCGTTTGACTATGTGTTTTTAAAAGTAAAAGAGCAAGTCAAAAACTACATTACTTGCTCTTTCGCAAATGTCGATGTTAAACATTCACTGTAAAGTATCCGCTCTACATTTTGTTGGACAATTCGTTAGTAATGAGATTTTGACCATAATTTATGTTCAAAACAAGATCAAATTTTCATATTAAGTACGAATTCTCATGAGAAAAGCTTTTTCAAGTGAAAAAATAGACGTTTTTCGGTGTTTAAGTATCTATAGAGCAAGAAACATTTCACAGTCTAACAAACACTCTTCGAATTTGCATCTTAGCCAACATATAGACTGGTAAACTTAACTGTTAAATGAACTTTATACAAGCAACATGATCAATTTACATATTTTCTCTATCGTTTCCTACAATCAGGTGAACATTGACTTATATCCATTTTTTCTGACTTATTTCGTTTTACAGCTATCCTAGAGCATATCTGTGATAATAACTGAAATTACAATATTCGATTAAATTGGTTAAATACAACAAATATGGAATGATGTTAGACACATGTGATCTGTTTCTCTGATATGCTTTGTATACAACAACAACAGTAGCACACTCAAATTGAACTTACCCACAATTTCCATTATATTCAAATTTTCCTTGATTTAATTGCATAGCTAAATCGGATGTTTGGAAATTAAGTGAAACCATTTGACAACCGGCATTCCAAAATATTTGTGGCATATAATTTGATGAATCAACTCTTCCACCTTTTGGATAAATTCTTGACATTTGTCGTTTATTATAATTAACAAATTCAATAGGATTTTGTCTTAAATGTGTTAATGCTATATTTTCAGAAAATGATGACATATGATAATGTATATTTCGTTGTTCAGCAACATCAAAGCCACGAAATTTAATTGGTTGAGCATAATTAACAAGTGATGAAAGATATGGATGAATGTTCGTTGTGGCACCTGTATAATGATAATGATTTAATAATGCTGCTTCTTCTTCTTTCGATAAGGCAATATTCTATATAAATAATAAAATATAAATAATCAGTAATAATGAGTAGAAAGAGGATATTATTTGTCATTTTTGTTCTTTTTTACCTTGGTTTTTCCAAACGAAAATGGATTTCTTTTATCTTCGATTAAATCGACACTAAGTTCTGGATGAGCTTCGTCGTCTTGTTCACGTAATTTCATTTCGTCTAAACATGACAATTCACACATAAATGTTTTTTTTCTTCTTCTTCTGTGTGTACGAAAAGAAATCAAATGACTCACCAAGTATAGCTGGTCCATCTTCTCCTTCTACGTTGGCTGCTGAATCCATTTCCGTATCATTATTAACCTCATTTATTTGACCTTGACGCCATTGTTCCAATTGTTCTAGAAATAAATGAATGTTAGCACAGTTATCTCATTGAATAATACGATAATGTCATTAATTACTTTGTTCAATGTCTGGTTTTAAACGTTTATTTTTAATGAGAATTTTTCTCTTCAACATATTTGGACTTGGTAATTGAACACCAGGTTTAAGCTAAAAAATAAATAAAATGAACAATTATACAACAAATTATTGAAGAAATAAATTGAAATGAGAAATAAAATAAAAAGCCAATCCACAGATACAAAATGTTAGTCATGTTAGTAGTAGTAGTATTTCCCCGAGAAAAATTATCTCTTTTCAAATTGCACACCAAAGTGAGTTCTATAGCAGTAGTTACCGAATAACAGTGAATATCTGAAAAAATACAGAATAAATATTGTCAAATAACAAGCAGAGAATGATGGTAGAATCAACAAGTCGTTTAGAAATATTTTCATTCGTATGGTTAAGAAAAATGTGAAATAAAGCTTAAACAAAAAACGAGAAAAATGTGGAAGGATAGAGAGGGAACGGAGGAATGGACAATAGCCTGTTGATGTTTACTCTGCATAAGTACAAAAGACAATTATATAAATTTACTCGAGTATATTATTCTATATACTGACACTGTGTGTTTCTAATGGTTTTGTTAATAATAGATCACCAAGAATATCTTCACAATATTTGGCTAATTTATGTTGTTGTATTTTTGAACAATGATTTTCAAATGAGAGAATAACAGGATATTCTGATGTAACAAATGCTGTATCACGAATTGCCATAATAACTTCTTTAAATACAATATCAGTACACATTGCTTTTCCATGAGTAATAATTGGCTCTTCATGTTCATTTTTACCATCCCAACAATCCAATTCAATACATCTACAACAAGAAAGAAAAATCTACTATTAATAAAGAAAAATTAAATAAAAAACAAAAGAATTCATCTGTTTTCTGCCCTCTGAAGCGAGTGAGAGACAGGAAAAGAACTCATTCATAGGATTTTTTTTCTTGTTGAAAAGTGTAACTTTTGAGTCTTCTACAAATATGTGCCCATGGTATGAGATGAGTCGCTTCATCCTTAAGAAATGATATTTTTGTCTCATCAGCATTCTTAGAAAGACAGAAGTTAACTGATGGTTATCGTATTAAATTAGAAAAAGGGGCAAACGTTTAGTAAGAATAAAATTTGTTATAATTTTGATAAGATGAACGTTTTACACATAAATATACTTTAAGAAATAATTTTCTCCAAATTAAGTTGGATTAGTTGTTGCAAGAAAATGTAATTACCTGCATCCGGCTAATAATACTTGTCTATACATTTCTACACTTGATTTTCCTCCAAATTGTCGTCCGGATAAATATGTATTGTGTGATGAATTAATAAGATAATGACAAAGAGGTTGATCCATATCGTGATGTACTTCTAATCGATCTAAAAATACTGGGGCATTTTCATCTGACATCAAATAACGGGCAAAACCATCACAACTCAAATGGCCTAAATAAAAAGAGAAAAATAGTCATTTTGATAAATGTATAGAAATATTTTTAAATAACAACTTTGAAAGAGTCTTATATCGTGACTGTTTTTGAATAATTAAATTGAAAATTTTTCATATAGAGTCCGATAGTTTGACATGCATTTAAATAGATAAGTCAAAATTTTTCAATATTCTATTTTCTTCTTCTCTATTCTGCTCACATTTCATCACACATGGCATGCACTGAATCATTCACGTGTTTCTCTACTCAATGATAACGTTGAATATACAGATACATGCACATATTCTTTAGAGAGTCTATTGTATTATATTTTTTCAAAAAATTGATCTGTACTGTCATCATTATAGAGTAACAAAGCATTATGACGAACTATTTTTTTTTTTGACGACACTTTAAAAAAGAGAAAATAGTAAATAAAATCTTGAAAAAAACTTTTAGATTCCAGAATCGCCTGGCTTTAGTTAACAACTCTTTATCTCATACCTCTATCTTTATAATTGGCTCGCTGTTCGTATGTATCAATAATTCTAATTGCACTTTTTTCATCATAAAATGGAAATAATATCTCATTCAAACGTGGATCACGTTGAGTCTAAATATAAGACAAAATAAGCAATTAAAAAAAAACGTTAAGAACAAAAAAAATATAAAAGATCTACCTCATTTAGCCAATTAACAAATGTTATCGCAGTTATGTAATCTTTGCCATTTGATCTGAAACAAATAACAACAGAGAAATATCAATTTCTACATTAATAACAATATTTAAAATAACGTACAAAATTTTAAATAAATCTGTAACATCGTCTCTTGGACATATTTTATGATATAAATCGCAAAATTTCTCGAAAGTAAAATCTGTTGGTTCAATATCATCATTCTAAAAAACATAATAAACAAAAGATAAATTTTACAAAACCAAACAGATAATAAAAAGAGACTTACTTTTCCACTAGGTAATCCAAGTTCTTTTAATATTTGAAATATCATTTTTTCCGTTTTGCCTGATGCAAACGTTCGAGTGATACTAAAAAGTTAAAAAAATGACATTATATTACATAAAATAATAGACGAAAATTATCGTTATATACCTTCTCACTGGAATTTTTTTACTTGTATTTAACATAAATGATAATTTCATCCAACTAAAATAATTAATCATAGTAAGAAAAAAAGAAAAACGAAGTAAATAAACAAAATATGAATAATTAATTACTGTTTTCTTAAACTTGTTGTTGGACATATATTATTTGCTTTATGATTATGAGTTATTTTTCGTAGACCTTCAATCCATGCCTAGAATAAACATTTGAATATGTTTATAAAAGAAAAATATCTTCAATATTTATTTTTTATTTACTTTAGCTGTTGCAGGATCAGCACCCGTTATATTTGTATAAGTAATTTGTACTAAATCGAGTCCACTACAAATTGTTACTGTTCGTTCATCAACATTTCCACGTCCATACATTAAAGCACTTGCCATTAAATCACTATTCATTTTTTGATCATTTGGAGCTATGAATAAAATAAGAGATAATGATAATTTTTCAAAAAAAAAATAATCCTATTTAAATACTTTAGTGGCTAAATTGAATTATCATACCTTTTCCCGGCCTAATATCGCTCACTTGTGATAATTCGATAACTTGTCCATCTCTGCCATCTGATTGCCAATAGATAAAAAATCCATAATGATCGACGCGAAATAAACAATTTTGTTCATATGCACCGCTTTCTTCATCCCATCGATCAAAATAATCACCTTTCTCTAATCGTTCAGGCACTTGGATTTGCCAATCAAAATTATATGTCTTAGCCATATTAGAACATGATTTTACATTACTTTTAATGAAAAATAAGCTCGTTGACAAATAAGAACAATGATAATATTATCTATCGTTTTAAATGTGACAAAAAACATGATTTTCTAAGATAAAATAATCCCGTTTCATAGTCTGTAGTTTGATATGAGAGAAAGCCGATTTGATTATAAACACTGATTAATCGACGCTACACTAAAGTTGAAAGCAAGTATTATTGTCATCGAATTTTATTGGTTGGTATACTATTTATTTGAATACCATAAGATACTTTCTTTACCTCTTTAAGTAACTCAAAAACTGAATAATCATATAGTTTTTTTGCTAAAATAGATTTTTCTGTCCAGAAAATTTGTCCTTCATCTTCGTTTCATCGATAGCCGGAAGAGAAAATGTTCGGCTAGATGGCACTGGCTCTCAATAACACTAGTCAAATTTTTCCTGAACCATATTAAAATTTACTTAACATTTTTCCATTACAAATGTAAGAGACGCATACTCTTAAAAGTTTGAAAGGCAGGAAAAACAGAACAATGACTGATAAGCGTTCAAAAGGTATAAATGGAAATATATGTAAGTAACTTAGCTCTATGTTCTTTTTGGTCTTGTAGGATGTTGATCTCTTCTTCCTAGCAAAGTCGGATATGTATTGTAAACTTGCGAATATATAGGTTAAAATTACGCCCTGATATGTTTACACAGTTTAATATTATAGGTCAGAAAATAGTCACGGTAAATAGATGAAAGATGGTTGAATATTGCCTGAAGACCTAATAGAAAAATATGTTATAAAAATAATATTATAGAAAACAGAAATATCACCGTAGGAGATGATGGTTTGTATTTACATTAATATGAAGATAAATTATCCAGAGCAATGCAAGTTTAGGTTAAATGTTGTAAGTATAAATCATCTCATTTTAAGAGAGTTTTCGTTACTCAATTTTCTCTTCAATAATTCAGGTCAACAACCATCATATGTTGAAAATGGCGAATGAAAGCAAAAGATAAAAATATGAATGTAATAAAAACAATGCTAATTTTTAATCGTTTTTTGTACGTTCAAATTTTTCAGCAAAATGGATTTTTTTTTTAGAGTTTTCTCTTTGGACTTATATGTCATCCACAGCTGTCATATTATTAAATCAAGATTGTAATGGAATGAACTTTTATTGTGTATAAGATCCTGTACATACAGACAGTAGTAATGTTGCGAAGTTTTCGAACGATGGTAGTGTAGTTCAGATATTTTCGTGAATTGTGTGTATTACGGCACTGTATTTCGATTGGCAATCACTGGTGGATCCAGAGGGGGTGTAATCGCACCCCCTTTTCAAAATATTTTCAGAGGAAAAAAAGTCGCTGTAAATGCTTTTTGCCTTAAAAGTTTCTCCCAAAGCAACCGCACCCCTCTTGAAAAAATCTCAGTTCCGCCACTATTGGCAATGTCACCTTGATCTTGAAAAAAGATGAAAAATTTTCGCTGAAGATGCTTCTGAGATATTTGTAATAGTTTTCATCAGTAAATGATCAAGAGATGTGCACATCTATAGATAACAAGCAAAAAATTCGTAAATTGATTTTTTAGAGGCTCTCTTATTGATCTATCAAACATCAAAGATCTAGAAAGAGAACACCTTTAACCCTTTACGGCCGGGTGCTGACTACCGATAACATCGATCTATTAAATGTCGAAAGAATTTCGTTCTAAAAGAATACACTTTGCCGATCCCTGTCACAGCAAAACAATAAATATAAAGGGAGGAATATTTTTATTAGTTAGTTTTTGGCAGCCGACAGAAAAGGAATATGCACAGAAGGGGATATTGTTACTAAATGGCTTATGCAGCCGGCCGTAAAGGATTAATTTCTTTTCTTGTGTGAACCTTCTTCTTCAAGCAACGATCAACATTGCATCGAATTTTCGCCGACTAAGAATTCATCAATTGAGGACAAAATTTTCTAAATAAACTGGCGAACACGTACTTGTAGAAGGATGATCGATTTTTGAATATTTTTTTAAAGCTTTTAAAACTTTCTATTCTATTCAGTATTAGCAAAAATTTCACGAGTGAACAATAAGATGGCAATTTTAGTAAGTATTTTGTCATATTGTCGTTACATCTATTGACAAGTTTCGATAACTTGTACAATCAAAGAAGAGAGATTTCAAAGGAATCAGTGTCATATTTACATTGGTCACGATAGCGAAAGAACAGTTTTTAATTATGTGTGAACGATTTCTTCACACATAATTAAAAACTGACATTGAACTCATATGAACGAGTGAATCGTATATTAATTGTACAATTGCTTGTTTAGTACCGTTTCTGCCATAAATCCGTAGTGGTTTGTCGGATTCCTAAAATTTTTTTTATTTTACTCATCTCATCACCTCTCACTACCGATAAAATTTTGAGCATTCTATGTTTTTGGCTGAGTGAGATACATGCATGAAAAAGCAGAAAAACGCGTTGTTATCTTGACTAGCATAACTAAAAACGCGATTTTCACATCAAAGACAGATGATAAAGAAAAAGCAGACCAGTGGATCGTGTAGAGCGCAAAATTCTCTATCCATCCATATCATTTACGATTTCGCTTCAGCACTTTGGCAAAGATTTTTTTTGAGAATTAAGTTTTCCGTACAAATTGTAGGGAGACACCAAAATCGGTCTGACGGATTTAGGCAGCACTTAAGCGTAAAATTGATTCCACCATGAGATAGAGCATCAAAAACACTCCGGAAAACACACAAAAGTATTTTACTAAACGCCAATTAAATGGTCCAAAAATGACTAAGTTTAGGTTTTTCACTCAGTTTGTAGGGAGAGATTTTGGAACTTGCGTTGCCCATAAGTCAATGAGGTTGTATCTAAATTGTTTCAAACTTTTAGAACCAGAAGCAGGTAGGAAGTTGTATGAGTGGTAAAAATTTCAGCACTTAAAGTTGATGTCTTCCTAGTAAACTTCGCGTTATGTGGCAAAATGTAGGGAGAAATTCGTTTCGAACTTTTTTCCTATTCATAGCTGTGCAGAACTGGGAAAAGTAAACTTTAATGGGTTTTCGAACACGCTCTTTCTAGTAGAGCAAACAGAACTACGTAAAACAAAAGCTTTGGAAGTATTTACCAATAAGCCGAAAAAATCGCAAAGATTCTCTGAAAGCGTTTTTTGACAAGAATAATTCCAACGGGTACACCACCTGTAGATAATTTTTCCCGCCCAATTGCTCCTAAGCTAGTAGATAATGCTGCCTAGAAGTGTCCTGCGTAAATCGTAGGTCTCTATCTTGTTTCTATTGGAAGTTATTTTGAAAATATCACGGATCGCCGTTAATTTAATACATTAGGAAATTGCACCTCTATTATCTCAGCCGGTAGACCTTTGGTAGTTTGGAAATTTTTACCTGGTACTCAGAAAATTATGGAGAATATTCTGGTCGACTCAGATTTTCGATAAAGTTACTTACATTTTTTCCCACAAATTGTACAACTAAAATACGATTCACTCGAACACGTCGAACTAGCAGATTAACCCTTTACGTCCCACAGCTAATGGAAACTTGAAACGCTTGACCTTTATCTAGACCCATTGAAAAAATATTTTCTTATTAACAATTACTAGCTTATGATATCAGCTTACGTTAGAAGATAATCCGTTTTTTGATCAGATGCATCGTCATGTATCTGTAGTAATTCTACGATATCCAGTAATGTCCATCCCAATGGACATTGGGTCTTAAAGAGTTAACATGCAACCATTTCGTTACAAGTACATGTAGTTAAATGCTTGCTTTTTCTTGATTCACAGTGAAATGATGGACAGAAACGGTGACCGTTTACAGGTTCTAGTTGATTTTAAGTCAAGTTTTTAGTCATACGGTTACCCTAGAGAAGAATTTTTTGCTAAAACTGATAGGATTCTTATAAGAATCTTATCAATTTCTTATATAAGATGGTTTAAGATTTCCCATCGACATTCGTAAGTGTCTTATAAGAATCTTATAAGATTTTCATAAGAGGCTCGTAAGAAAAACATAAGAAGGACCAAAAATTCTTATGTTATTAGTATCTACTAGAAGGCATCTTATGAGTCGGCTTTTACGATTTCTGTTATGATTAAGTTACTTCTACTTGTTCTCAAATCTTTTGGGCTAGTAAGTGGCCGTAACGGTCATTTATTCTGATGACTTGTGAGTCGTATTCACAGAACTGTTATTTTTAAAAATATAAAACTTTTACTAGGTGTATTGACTAGTTAATCGGGCAGTATTTTAAGTAACTTACATTCCTATCTAAAATAACTTGATATAATAACATAACAGAGTAAGCACTTATAGCCTAATGGTTAAGATCGGGCAGCTGAATGGAAGATTACGAGTTCGATCATCGTTAAGTGCGATTTATCTTTTTATGAACCTCGTATGAAAATCTTATCTGATTCTTATAAGACACTTACGACTGTCGATGGGAAATCTTAAACAATCTTATATAAGAACCTGATAAGATTCTTATAAGAATTCTTATAAGAATCTTATAAGATACTGATAAGAGACTTATAGGTTTCTGGTAAGATTCTTATATCAGAATCGATCTCTAGGATAACAGATCATCTATGCTTTATTAAATGTTATGAGCTTAAATGTGAATTAGATGAGAAGTGTGCGCTAGTAAGTTCACATACTTGCCGTGTTGTCCAATTGAATGCTTACAAATTTAAAAACTTTAAGATTACTAACAAACACGGCATCCGACTTCAGGCGTAAAAATGATCATTATTTTTTCTCTCTCTTGATATAAAATTGTTTCTACTATGTTTCTACAAGCTTATACGACGAGTAATACGCTTTTTAGATATTTTAAAATTTCCAGAAGAACGGTCATTTTTTTATACAAAGTACAAATCGCGCATTCAAGGACAATAATTAATTCATACACTGTAATTTAGAATTTACTTAGGGCATACCAAAAGTAGTGAGGGAGGTACTTTATTTTCTT